GCGTCGAGTCCTGGATCTATCACGATCATCACGTCGAGACATGGTGACGCAACTAAATCGGAATTTGCACACTTCCACCTTGAGAGAATCAGACCCGACAATATTCAAATCCATGCAAATGCAAGTTAGCGGCCCTCAACTGCAATGGTCAAGCGAAATGTACAAGGCAAAGCAAATACAAGTCAACAATCGACAACCGCAGTGAAACGAGCAACAAGTTCAACCAATGGTCAAGGTAGGCAATGAAAATCGGCTGCTATCAACTGTGGTGAGACGTCGCTATGAACTGACGGCTTTCTTCCCTTTAGTGAAACCTCGTTCCTGGTTAAATGTGAAATTCCGCTGTTCTATGATACGCACGTTGAGGTCAAATTTTCCGACAGAGCCGGCCCGGGGTCACACAATGGGTACACCCGAGGATTCCCCACGAATGGGGTGTACACACTTGAACTCCAGATGGAGAGTGCTAATCTTTCGAGTACAACTGATGAGTTTCGAGTACAACTGATGAGTCTCGAGTACAACCGATGAGTCTCGAGTGAAAGAAAGTTCGGCTTGCCGTCACGTGATATCCCTCTAGAGACGAAACCGTTACAGGGTTCAACATGAAGCACACACAGCGGCAAAGAAGAGGGCCAAAAGGACTTTCAGAATCACTCAAAAGGTGCAGGTACACAAGGCTGATCAGGCCTTGCTTCCCACTCTCACCCACAGCTTCATTGCGTGTGGTAGGATGAGAGTGCCACACGCCCCTGCTGCGAAACAGAAAGGGTGGTGACAGGGCATTCTGTCACTCCGCACACACACACACACGCACACACACACACACACACACACACACACCCACACACCCACACACCCACACACCCACACACCCACACACCCACACACCCACACACACCACACACCCACACACCCCACACCCACACACCCACACACCCACACACCCACACACCCACCACCCACACACCCACACACCCACACACCCACACACCCCACACCCCCACACCCACACACCCGCACACCCGCACACCGCACAGCACACCGCGCACACCGCACACCCGCACACCCGCACACCCGCACACCCGCACACCCGCACACCCGCACACCCGCACACCCGCACACCCGCACACCCGCACACCCGCACACCCGCACACCCGCACACCCGCACACCCGCACACCCGCACACCCGCACACCCGCACACCCGCACACCCGCACACCCGCACACCCGCACACCCGCACACCCGCACACCCGCACACCCGCACACCCGCACACCCGCCGCACACCCGCACACCCGCACACCCGCACACCCGCACACCCGCACACCCGCACACCCGCACACCCGCACACCCGCACACCCGCACACCCGCACACCCGCACACCCGCACACCCGCACACCCGCACACCCGCACACCCGCACACCCGCACCCGCACGCGCACGCGCACACACACAGTACAAAAACAACAACACAACACGTTGAGGAAAAACCCAACACACACACAGACACAAACAAACAAGCAACAAACAAACAAACAAGCCAACCGACCGACCCACCGACCGACCGACCAAACCATCGACGACCAGCCGACCAACCGACCGACCAGCCACCGAAGCAACTCAAAATTGCGAGCTGCCCGTGCAACATGTGCAGACTCATCTGACAACGTTGCTGCAACTCCAAGGTCTGAACTGAGGGATGCCCAGGTACAGGACCTATGGACCTACATAGTGAGCGCGTTTAAAACTCCCCGGTGAGCTCGCCAGGCAGACTCATCCCAGTGGCCAAGTGAAGAAGAAACCCATCACGAAGAGCCGCCGCATCACGAATTTCCACTCCTGGCAGGTCTCCGCTTGTTTGGGCCTGGAGGGTTGCTCAAAAAGAGTGCCCTAGCATGCTTTGCCGCTGAGCAGGGTTTTACAAAAGGGTTCAGCAAATTGGCATCCCCTAGTTTGAACAACCCTTTCTGCCTTGTTCCGAAGCTGACTGGAATGGAAAATCAAAACGAAGCAAAGCCACATTTCTACCCAGCTGCACCCTTGGGATTGGTCATCCCTGCCATTTGGCAAACTGATTTCCAAATGACAATGGTCGGAAGCTTACAAGCCCCGCAGACCTTCTGGTGGAATTCCTCGACTCCTGACTACACCGTCGTAAAGCCACTTTTGGCTGGCCACAGGCAGAACCAAAACCAAACTAGTAGGAATGCTTGTCAGTTCCAAGCCACAGCTGTTCCAACGATTGCAAGGCAAAATCGTAAAATCAAGGAACATGTGTGTATCTGACATAGTTTGCACACAGCCAGGCAAAAGAGAATCGGAACTGAACCATCAGAATTCGTAAATAAAGGATACATCCAACGACGACCTGCGTGTTTATCTGAAACATCTGGATGTATGTTTGGGGTTCCTTGTTTCTGTTGTATTGATTTTTCTGAAGCGGGGGGGGGGGTGAAGGCAAACCACCATGTTTGAGTTTGAGACAAACCATAGCACCCGTGTTGATCCCAAATTTGCATCATCCCTCAATCGCAAACCCAAACCGGCTCGCCTTGATGGTGGCCGCTAACAACTCTGCCAAAGTCTCGGGAAAGCGCCTGCGAAGGGGATTTCAGTTCGTTGCATGTCAAGCAATGCACCGCATATGGAAATGTACCTTGCGCAACATGTGCATGTATATATTAGATGTGTATGTGCTGCTTGTGCCTACGCTAATTACGTACAACTCATCACTATTCAATCATTTCTTCTAGCAACATGAATCAGGGGCTTGTAAATAAGAACCTTTCTCGTGGGGACCGTTTTAACCCTTATGGCGGATTCCTCATATTTCCAGTTGCCCCGAAACTGGTAGATCAATGAAAGTTCCAATCTTACATAGGTCCCGACCCACGAAACAAGAAGGGCTGAGGAAAATCCACTGAGCTGGGCTCATATGGGGGGATTGTCAAACAATGAGAAACGAAAGGAAAGCCCCACGAGAAACGCACACATATCCCACCTTTGGCCATCAAGAAGGCAAAACGGCCCAGCCAACGCCTTCGTATTGGAAAACAGGTACTCTTTGCTTCATAACCCCTGGCCTTTGTCGAACAAGCATTCAGCACGCAACTACAAACACATGCTAAGTGGAGTAATTGTGATTGCCAACGCAAGGCAACGCTCTAAGAAAATTGAATTGAAGGGTGCCACTCAACTTGATCACCGGCTTTATAGGCTGATAGACCGAAACAAGGATCGTTCATGTACACCGGGTTCACTGCACCCCCAAAAAGGGATGCACGCAAGTGAGGAGCTATCTGCTATACAAAACTGTAAGATGACATCAAATCAATCGAAACATCCTCAAATATGCCATGGTCAGGAGAAAAGAGGCGCTCATTTGGTGCTTCGCAACCCCACCGCTTTTCCTCTTGCCAATTCTACGAGCGCACAGGGTGTGTTTCACCTGCAAGCGAATTCACGCGAAATGGGCTTTGTCTCGGTTCGAGGGAAGAAGTTTTCTTGACGTGTTTGGAGGGGGACCAAGAAGACCCCACCTATTTCAGAGACTTTTTACTTTGGAGTCAAAACCACATGATGGCACCACTTCTTAGGGGTGGTTGATTGGAACACCATGAGAAAACAACCTATGTTGGGGGAATACTGCATCCCATATCCCATTTAGACACAAGCACGCAAACCCCTGAAAAGTGTTGTTTGACACCGCCTTTTGGAGAGACCAACCCATTTCTGGCCTGACTCACTCCTTGCCCAGTTAAAGGCAATCTCAAATGGCTTTATCTCGCGAGATGCGGTGGTTGCACCAGTGAACCTTTAAACCGCTAGACCCAGTTGCAACCAAGCGAAGGTAGAGAAACCGTTCGAAACCTATTTGGTTGGGCGCATTCCATTTTTTAGGGGAGAACCCGTAAAACTAAAGGCCAAAAGGGGTGAGATCCATTGAACAAGTATGGAACAAAGGAAACATGTGGTTTCCCTTGAAGGCATTCCCAACACCCGTCCCTGTTAGCACTCAGCCAAATGTTCCGTTTCCTGAAGCAGGGTGTCTGGTGGAAATCGGATCTGAATCCTATGTTGTGACCAAAGGCACCCCCTACTTACAAGTGTACAAAAAAGCAGACTCTCCATCCCTGCTCCTCATCCCTTAGAAATCATGAGGGCCGCCTTGGCATACATCAGTTCATATCAGTTCCCTGTTGCCGAGGGGATGAGGATAATATTAACTTCGGATTTTAATCAGACGGATCGGGCTCGTCAAGGGGTTCCACTATGGATCACCCTCCACTTCCCCTTCTTAAACATCACCAAAGAGGAAAGCTCGCCCAAACTTCGTCACCAAGTGAGGCGTCAACAGTAAAGTAGGGAAATCTGTGGGCAAATTCTGGGGCACCTGAAACAAGAAATCCCACAAGTAAGGATAACCTTCATCTTGGGTGAACACGGTGGCCGCCAACTCAGTTTGTGAGGTTGCTATATCCGGTTTTGGGCCGGACATCTAGGGAACCCTGACAGTTTTTGTCAGGGATTGATGCAACCATGAGGCGAGGTACTTGTCACGCCGCTCAGTGGACGTGCGTACTGTGTGTATCTGTGTCTGTGTCTGTGTCTCTGTCTGAGGGTCTGCATGTCTGTCTGTCTGTCTGCCTGTCTGTCTGTTTGTCTGTCTGTCTGTTTGTCTGTCTGTATGTATGTATGTATGTGTGTATGTATGTATGTGGGTGTGTGTGTGTGTGCGTGTCTGTTTTAAGATACCCCTTGTTAGGGTTGGTTCAAAGGGAGACCAAAAGGAACACCCGCATTTGTTGAGGTTTCCCTACTTTGACTCATACCCGTATCATTGTATCGGAAGTGGGCACTTCACACGGCGTCAGCCACAACAGGGCTCCAAGCAAATGCTTGGAAGACATCGCTCCACAACAAAACACATGCACATGAAGCAATCCTTTTTCCCTGTAGGCTTGCCTCAAGGGAAAATAGTACCATATCAGACATAAAACATCACCAAGCAAAACTAACCCGCAAAAAACACATGTTCAAAGCCGTCGATAAGCTCAATCACTTCTCCGCTCAGAAGAAGGGATAGCCGAAATTCTTCTTGCCGCAGTACCTGACGAGAGGAAGTAATCAGGATCAAACAGGTGGGGTGTGTCAACGTGGAGGGGATCCAGTTGCGATTTCACTTCCCCAGAACGAAGAGCGCATTAACTTCTTACGACCTTTGCCCTGTGGCACACACACAGGCGCAAACATCATCTTAAGCGATTCGATGGATGTGTTTAACATCTTGTTGAAGGGTCATAACTCCGAACACTCAAACACCATTGTGAAAAAATATCATGATCTGAAACAACCCGCACCCAAATTTCCCCAGATCTCCGTGGCCAGAAAACCGTTATTTGATTTTGTCGAAGGGAACGTGGAATGCCACGGAAGCCCGGAGAATAGCAGCTAACTTTACTCCAATCGTGGAAGCTGACACAAGGCTTTCTACAATATTGCCCCCTGCACCAAAACTTACTTTTCGCTGGATAGCGGGAAACACACATGTTCTCACATGTTTCCAAACAAGTTGAAGGTTCACGATCCAACCCAACAGCCGCCAAGTTTCTTGGACGACCCCTGTCTCGTTGGGAAATTGTTGAAACTAATCGGGGCCGTCTTCAGCGATGTTGTGGCACCTCAAACTCGGGCTTCGGTTTCCTTTCATCCAAAACTGCTGTACACCCAGAAAGCCCCTGGTTCATTTTGAGCGGAGTCCCATTCCCACTAATTCTAGAGCTGATCCGGCTGACTTTTTGCAGACCCCCCCCCCCAAAAAAAAACAACAACAACGGAGAAAACAAAACCTGCTGTGGAGACCCGTAATAATAAACACATCCTACTAATAGTACTATAGGCTAGTTTCACGAAGAAATGTGATTTGGAAACCGCACAAAAAGGGGATCAACCTCAATTAGCGGTGCTCTTATCCGGCGACGTTAATACATCAGTAACTGGGCTTTTCAAAATGGAGAGTGGGCCAACCCAAATCCATCATTCCGATAGGGACACCACTACAAGCATTGATTTCCAACACAACTTGCTGGTGCGATAAGCAGGACATGCGGAAATGAACCCAGGAATTGGTCCCCTGAAAGGAAACCACCAGCTGATGGTTTAGATGCGGATCGTTCCGTTTCTCGGGCCCCCTATCGCATCTCTCGCACCAGCAAACCAAGGATCGTGGACCCGCGCCTGCAGCGCTCCGGCGCCTTCTGCCCCAGCTCGCTCTCGGAGAGGCGGGCACAGGAGGAACACCTGTCCTGCGAGAAGAAAAAAACAAAAAAAAGGACTTTATAGACCCCAGTTGTTTCGAACCCATTTGGTGTTTTGCTTTTTTGCCTTTCTTTTTTTCCGGGCAAATGGTGGTCCTCTAAAATGGTTGGCTTATTTTTGGCTTCGCTCTACTAGCACCAATCACAAGCGGGCCCACCATTTTGAGCGACTCTCAATTATGTGCTGGTTGGTTTCGACTGGAGGCGACGCGAAAAAGGTGTCCTATTTTTTGAGGCTGAGCTTTTGCTTGGTGGTTCAAAAGGAAATCAAAAGAAAAGCCGTCCCATATTTTAACCTGCAGCCAAAAGGCGGGATTCAGCACCAACCCTATCTCAGGAGGTGACCCAGTTGATAATTTATTGGTCACTCTAGTTTCTGGCTTGATTCCCCCCCAGGTCTTGGGAAAGTCATCAAGCCGGGCATGGGTTCGTCCCTCGGGGTGCTCACGATTGGTAGCCGGGATACTCTCCTGGATGTTATGTCTTGAAACCACAAAAGCCACAAAAAACTTGCCAAAAGCCACACAAACCAACAAGCCAAAAAGACAAAGCCAAGAAGCCTGGGAGACAAGAACCCAAAAGACCCAGAAGCTAGGAAACCAAACACGGCCAAATCCAGGATCAAATCTTTAAAAACAACGGGAAAAGGCAACACAAAACCCCCCAAACAAACAGATCACCCCCCGATTCATGTCGGGTGCGTGCATCCAACTAACACTTTTCACATTGCATGGAGAGGGCTCGACTGCACATTGCGAGGCCTTTTTTGAAGGTACGAGTACCGCTTTTGGGCTTGTTTTAAGTTGGAACCCAAACAAAACCGAAGCCCATGTGGAAGCTTATAAATATGCAAAATAGGGGAATCCAACAAATGGTGGTTCGCCTTTTTACCTGCAAACCCCAAACGGCAAAAACAGACACAGCCTATTCCGAGCCACGTGTTTCAATCTAGGGTGGCTCCAAGCCATTTTTTCGGACTTGGCTTGCATCCAAAAGAGCAGAGTTCAATCCTGTGACAGTCGCCGGCAAGAAGGGAGGGGAATCCGTGTGGGTAGTAGCCGTACTCAAAGCTTCGAACCTGTCGGCCATGGTCATTCGTGAAAAACCTTTCTGGGTCATGGCCGTCCCTGCCAAGTAGAAAGGTTGACCTTGGCTTCCGCTCTCATCTCATGGCCTTTGGCCACAGAGGCCACATAGGCCTTGACAGATTTGCCAAACATGTGCCACTTCTCTGAGCCGAAACGGAAGCTACCTCAGCTTTTGGCAGTAGACTGTGGCCAATACTTTGTGAACCTTACAATATAAAGTAGTCTCAACAAAGTCACCAAGTAGTGGTCCGCACCACAAGCGGGTGAATCTCGGCGCTATGAGTCGTTGCCCCGGCGACTTTCACGGTTTCATTGGCAAGTGGACCTCCAAAAGAGAAACCCCAAACTCTGAAACCCGGTTTTTGGATGGCCCCGACATGGGCATGGGAATCGGTCTTGGGCGCTGCTCGTTGGGCATGAACCTTAGGGCATGGGAAGTCGGGTGGCCCTGATTCTGTGGACTTTGGGGGGATCCCCACGTCCTCCCGAAACCAACATCCGCTTGATTGGAACCCCGGGTTAATACACCCATCCTATTGATAGGGTGTCACCCACACTAAAACACTACAAGGGAACATCCCCCTATAAATCAACCACGGGGAGTACTGGTCTGGGGTCAACTATAATAACTAGAACAAACAAGTTGTCCCTCCCCTGCTGCCTTTTTGCCCGCGCCTGGTGTCTGATCTCCCCGTGCGGCTTTAAAATGGCCTGGCTGCAAACGGAGGACTTGGATTGGAGTGGTTTTTGCGAGAGGACAGTAAGTATGCCCGGGTTACATGAGGTCTGCAAACGGCAAACAAACCATCCTTGTTGTCGTTTCTGCAGGGTTCGCTGAACTTCCAACGGCAATCAAGTTTAGCCCGTGGGCACTTGACGCGCTCAAACCCTCAAGAAGGGCAGGTCCAATCTCAATATGTTTCTGACTCACCCCTAGTGGTTGCGGAAAGCTCGCGACCCAGCTTGGCATGTACGCCCAAACCACTACGCTACCCTCTTTGGCTTCCCTTTGCCATCTGTGGTGAGTTGTTCCCGGCTGAGTCGCGTGACATAGGCAGCATGTTTTGCGTTTCTATGCCAGTAGCTCGAAGGACACAAATTAAATGTTGAGCCTAGCCTGTGCTGAGTGTATCAAACTCGTTAGAAGACAGTCAAATGGGTAGCTGTGTACCGACGTCAACACACGTTCTTGTGTATGCTTTCCAAAATTACAAATACGCAACTTGCATACCATTCTAAATCCGCGGGTACATGCAAACGAGATGCGCGTGGGCGGATGTGCTTACCATGCGCCAGGCGCGGGTACATGCGAACGAGATACGCATGGGCGGGTGTGCTTTCCATGTACATGCTGCGTGGCGGCTACATGCGAACATGTGCAGCTTTCGGAGATGTTTTCAGAGACGTTCGTGGACCAAATCCGCAACAGCGTTTTTGCCTGCGCGTAGCAGTTGTTGGTGGTTGCGAGAAGGATCCAAGCGTGTAGCATCAAAAGCGACGCGACTGTGGGGGCGGCGCAACAGCCAAATACCAAATACAACTCACTTCCGTGGAATGGCCAGCAAAAGCAATCGCACGTCGTGATTGAAAGTAAAACGAGCCAAACAAACCCGACATAATTTTACAAGCTGTTCAGAAACTCGACTGGGGCCTGCATCTCGCCCAGGGTGCGCATTTGGCCCCGGCTGCTCCTAGGCGCGAACGGACATGCCGATGCTCAGGGGGGAATAGGTACCCTAATAGGGCACCCAGCATAAGGCCCTGTATCAAGGTTGATCATTTAAGGAACTTGGTATGCGGGCCTAAACAAGCATCGTGTTGATGGGTACTGAAAAAAGTGAACTCATGTTGGGCGAAGAATGCGTGTAATTGCACTAATTACACACCCCCACACCATTTTGGGGTGACCCCAAACAACTGGAAACCAGGATAAAGCCCCCTGCTAGGTTTGATCCGGGAGAGCAACCCATCTCGGAGGGGAGCTGGATCACTTTTGGGAGGCGCGTCTCATCCGAGAGGTTTTACTTAATCGACATGCGGCTGTTTTCACGCAAACTTGGGAGGGGAGGGGATCTGGTCGGGTCCCTCAAAGAATCATGGAACCGCGTGGACATATTGTTTTTGTGGGCAGCTGTCCAAATAAGGCTTGAACGAGGACTAGGATTATGTGAAAGACATGTACTCAGACGGCTCGCGGGGAGCAAACGTCGGCATTTGTTGCGTGAAGGGTAGGCAGCAATATGTTGTCACACTTGTGGCAGAAAGCGCACACGTCCATTCGGCATTTGAGCCCCACAAAACTCAAATGATGCCCCGCGCAGCTCGGCAGAGAAGCTCTTGCATTTGCGCAGTCCTTGCTCACAACCTCCCATCAAATGCTTTCGGATTGCTGTGGAGTCAGCACTGACCACATAGCAGTGTCAAGTGTTCTTGGGCACCCTTGTTGGAGTGGATGTGCAGGGAAGCCCAAGGGAAAACCGTTATCCTGCCAAAAACACGGCATCTTGAACAATGGTTTCAGTTGCCCAAAACATGTGTTTCTAAGTCGCGACAAGCTTTTCTTGGGTATTCTTCGCGGGCCCACTTTCCAGCCCTGCATACCCGTTTCGTGAAGCCGAGGCCACGTATCGACCGCCAACATGTTCATCGCCACTTGTTAAATTATTTGGCCATGCTTGAAACGACAAATTTGGGTTCCATACCTTGTTGAATCTGCCACCCCCTAGGAAACAAGAAGAAAGGTGCCATGTGGTAATCTTCAAGAGACATGTTGATATGCGGCAGACCCTTGGGTCCTATTTCTCCAGTTGGCAAGACCTTCAAGACAAATGTCTCCCACTTCCACGGAAACCTTGCTTGTGGTTAACGTCCAGGGTTCCCTATGCTTCCTCCTTGAGTATCGCCCAAACAAATTATTGGTTGCTGTTGACCCCCCTGCAAAAAGTTTAACTTTTTGGAGGTTTAGTGGAAAACCCCTTGATTTCCCAAAAAGTTGAAGTCTAAAGATCCAACTCAATAGCAGTAAAGAATTCACACTCTGCCGGAACTGGACCCTTATAAAGGATGTTAATATGTTCCTAAAACAAAACTAAACCACCAAAGAACCGCAGGTTTTAGTTCATGCTTCCATTTACCAGGTTCCATTTTCTGTACATATCACCGCAAAATCAGGCATGAAGGGAACCCGGACTTTCCTGTTGATCCCAATGATAGAAACCCACCAAACTGGTTCTAGACTGTGAACGGCCTGATTGGACCCTGCTCTCTATTTATAGGTCCAGGACAACTCTCGGGAATTTTCACAGAATCGAGGGAAACCGTAAATCCAAATACCAGGGCCCCCCAAAAGTCGTCTCCTTCAAAACTTACACCCGGTTTGGGGCATTTTTGTTCACAGCAACCAAGAAGCCAGGCCCACCGACTCCGTGTTCCACTTCGCTGGGCACCGGACAGGTGGCTCTGCACCCCAGGAAGGCCCCCGTGCTTCTCGCTCCAGGCCTCCGCCTCCGTGCGACGAGTTGGCGTTGCGAAGCGCTTGGGCGTGGCCAGTGCAAAAGCAACACTGCACACATAAATCAACAACATACGCTTAGTTAAAAAGAATACACAAAGAAGCCAAACAACACCAAGAACCGCAGAAACAAAGAAAACAAACAACTCCCCTAAGACCTACTTGGCTGAGCTGACCGTTCAAACTCTTAAGACTTCTGATTCTGGGCCGCCAGCCGCGTCGCTGGAGACCCACCCGGAGAGATTGATCTCTTTGCAATGGGTGGAGCCTCTGAGGCGCGAGCAGTCACGAAATCGAGACGTGTCGGGGTCCCAGCTGGGACAAGCGTTCAATCGGGTCAACATAAGCTCAACACGGGCTCTACATATCAGTCAAAATGCGTCAACATGTTATAGGGTCAACGCAAGGTAATCCAAAGTAGGGTCAACATAGGATGAGCATAAGCTCAACGTAGGGTCTACATATTGGTCAAAAGGTCTACATTGGGGGGGGGAGGGTAGAAGCGTAGGCTCGACTTAAATCGGGGGGGGGGGGGCTTATATAAGGGGGACAACAGGCCGAATAGAGGTCTAATGTCCACGCACAGGATTCAGGGGGTCGAGAAAACCAGAGTTTACCACTGTTGTGGCTTCCTTGAAGGTCAGTTGCCCAATGCAAGGTTGCCTAAACTTCCGACGTGCATAATCAACAATGACAAAAGACAAGTCAGTCCACTTCGGTCTTTACAACAGGTGAGGTCTTAAAAACAATCACCGTGTCAAGTCGTTCCTCCAGCAGGCTTTTATTTCGACCAGAAGCCATCCCGCACTCATATGGTTGGTCATCCAAAGGCAAGGGTAGATATATGTAAACATCACCTGAAAAATCATGCCCTGGTGTGTCAAACTTGGATCCACAGATGCAAATGTTGGGTCGGGCGAGTGGCAACCCAGAAACAGAAACCCTAGTCTACTAGAGGTATCACGGGCTGGCTGGCTGGCTGGCTGGCTGGCACGTTTGCCTTTGGCCCAGAGAAAGAATCTATATACTGTTTGTTGATCACTATGTTGCAGGATTCAAAAGCCCTGGTTGATTCATAGAGCTCCATTTTAGAGACAATCTTTCACTTGTGAGGATGAAGGATCTGAAAAGGGGGTTGGCGCCCTCTGCTGGCTGGTTTTTAACCCCCGCTTAAACAAAAGCCGGCCCGTGCAAACGCTGATTCAAATTGCTCCTCCACCGCCAACCAAAGAACATCGATGTGTCTGTGTATGTTTGAAGGTATCCTTCTTCTTGTTCCAAAGAGACACAAAAAGGAACACGCCACCAGCTTCTTGGGCCCTCTGTTCACAGGTTCCATGGGAATCCAATTCCCCCAGGCAGTTGATCTTGGTGACCCAACCATGTGCCCTATGCCATCCCATCAGATGACAGCAGTGTCCTGACCATCGCTCAAAGATCTTACCGGGGCGTTCTTATGATCTGCCCAAACCCAGCCATGGGAAATACCTCCTCCCAAAAACATAGCATCTGTGGGAGGGTAAGATCATGTGCCCTTTGTGCCAGGTTGGTGGGAGGGAGGGTAGAAGTCTTTGCTTAAGTTCC